TCATGAAAATGCAAATCAAAACCACAATGAGATACCATCTCACTCCAGTAGAATGGCCACTGTCCAAAAGACAAGAAACAACAAATGCTGATGAGGATTTGGAGAACAGGATGTCCTCCTACACTGTTGGTGGGAATGTAAATTGGTACAACCGCTGCGGAAAGCAGTATGGAGGTTCCTCAAAAAACTAAAAGTAGAAATACCATTTGACCCAGAAATTCCACTTCTAGAAATTGACCCAAAGAAAACAAAAATCCCTGATTTGAAAAGATATATGCACCCCTATGTTTATTGGTGCATTATTTACAATAGCCAAGATATGGAAGCAACCAAAGTGTACATCAGTAGATGAATGGAGAAAGAAGAGGTGGTACATGTATGCCATGAATTATTATTCAGTCATTAAAAAAAAGAAATCCTGCCATTTGCAGCAACATGGATAGATCTAGGGGGTATTATTCCCAGTGAAAAAAGCCAGGCGGTAGAAGACCTAGTGTACAAAGCATGACCATTTGAAGTCTTTGTCAAAATGAAACAAAACAAACCAATAAAAGAAAAATACCCAAGAGGCCTAGGTAGCTAATTGATTTGTACCAATTTAATAAAACAACCAGACAAATCAGTGAAAATTTTTACTAATTCAATTAAATAACATTTTCAGTTAGTAAAATTTCACTAATTTCAATAAGCTGATTGTCTCAACTGACTGGTGGTTTAAATCAACAGATGAATCGGTATAATGATAGCTTCATAAAGCAGCAGTACAATAATCAGGAGATAAATCATAGAACTCTGTATTAATTACATAAAAAATGCTAATTTGTAGGTGCTGTTTGATCATCTCATCATGCAAAAAGACTATGATATTAATTCTGTCTTCCAGAATGCTTCATAATTATTACTACATACTTGATATTGGGAATCAATATATCCTATATCCCACTGTGATAAATATGTCCTTCATATTGTACATAAGTCTTTCTTGAGTTTTAAGTGGAAGCAGTAGCCTCTTAATTTGTATCGTACCTATCTGAGCCCATCTTTCATGTGGTAGTCAGAATAATCTTGTTATAAACATGAACTGGAACATATTCCTCCCCTTATCAGAATGTTTAATGTCCCATCATCCTAAAGATAAGGTCAAAAGGGTCTAAGTGGCTGAAAAGGCTGAGTTGTTCAGATAGCTGCCTCTGCCCTGCTTTAGTAAAACCACTTACCTTTTTGTTTTCAAAGTTTTTCCCTTACATGACTTCCATTTCTGTAAGTGTTCCAGTCTTCTCACATAAGGAAATGAGGACATTCAAATTCCATCTACTTATGTCAACCTGCTTACCTATTCTCCCATCTTTGAGTTCTTCACCATACTGAGTTTAAGAGAAAACTTTCCTGACCCTGTAACTAGGACAAATCTTGCTATATGTTAGCATATTAACCTATATTGTTCTTTTGGCAAGAGTTATCACATTTTTAATGACTTGTCAATCTTTCCAACTTGTTTTAAGACCCGTGATCGCAGGGCGCTATGTGTTCTCTTCATGCAATCCATAGGATGTATAACATCTATGAGTAGATATGCAATTCATAGTTATAGATGGAATTGCTCAAGGAAGTTACATACTGATTAAAAAAAGAAAAGCAAGTAAAGAAGCTTAGTAATTTATTTGGTCACCAGAATACTTTGTATTTAATATTTCTATTTGTGACAGAGTCATTTGATTCCCAGCTGTTACATTCACACATTGGGGAAACAGTTTCACACCTCAGGAAGCAGTGACAATTTTTCCTTGGTGGTATGCAAACAAACCAATTCATTCATTTGCAAGTGAACTCATTCATTAATTCATTCATCCAGTTAACATTTATTGATCACTAAATGCCAGAAGCTGGAGGCTTAGGCATACATTATTGAATATTGAGTCTTGCTTTTGAATAACTCACTGTGGAGTAAAAGAGATGAACCACTAGCAGATAATTACAGATAATTACTGTATGATTTTATAATTTCTCTAATTAAAGCAAGTATAGGAGCTATGGGATCTCTTTAGTTTTCCATCAGTTGTTTTAGCTTTATGTAGACACAGCCTTATGGCCTATTTTTTGTTCACACTTTATTGACAGAATGAGTAAACAATCATAAGAAAATGAAGAAAGATATGTTGAGCTAAAAACACAGAAGTGGATTTACTTGCTTCATACTGACTTCATCAAACTCACATCTTGCTTAACAACTGTCCTCACCATCTGATTTTCTTCCTCTCATTGAATATTAGGAACACTATTCCTCACTTTATTATCTACCCAATCTCACACTGAGTGTTTTTTTTCTGACACTAGCAGCTCATCAGGGACCTGTTCATCTTGCATCCTGGTTTCATGAAACAATGCACAGCCTCTATCTATATATTTTCCTAAAAATAAAAAAAGGAATGTAATTAAAATACGTTAACATTATTTTAAGTGGAAATTTCAGATGATTTTGACATGGTATCACCTCAGGAAAATGTGTTTCCTGAGGTAGCCTGTCACATTGGTTGATTTACTGACAGAATGTTTTATGTGATGAGTTTTTGTGATGTTACCCCAACCTAACATCTTAGCTGCCTTTCTGCCTACATCTAAACATTGAAGTAACATCTTCATTGAGTCGTTCACAATAATACCTGGATATTCTCTTTGAGAATTACTGCTAATTTAGAACCCATTAGTATGTACACATAATTTACATTGTTCAGTTAAATGTGCAATAGCTTGCATGAATCTACAGTGAATCATCTGCCATCCAGTACCGGTTATCCAGCTGTGTTTGCTCTTGCCCATGTTATGCAAAAGTCTGCTTGGTTTTGCTTCACTCATGTAATTGTATGTCAACAACAGATTGCGAATGCTGTTACTCTATCATTTACTTCCTCTTCCAGGTTATTTATATATATCATATTATCATGTGTATGTGTATGTATGTGTGTTTATGTGTGTTTGCAAAAATGAGAGTACTGAAATAATGAGAGTACCTGAATAAGGATAAGATAAGATATTTAGGTGTTCATAGGAGGGTATTTTTGTACTAGAGAAAAAAAAACTTAAAATTTTACCTAATTTGCATTGCATAAATAAGACAGCATTATTTATTTTCTGAGACTTTTATGTTGAATTTATTAATCTTCTTTATTCAATCTCTTTTCATTCTTTCATATTTTATTCATGAAACAAATATTTACTGTATACCTAGTATATTTCAGCCACTATGTCAAATGCTAGTGATTAGTGGTGAACAAGAAAATGTGGACCTTGCTTTACCTTCTAATGTAAAAAAACAGACCAAACCCAGAATTGTAAATTGAAATAAGTATATATGAAGCAGTATTTACTCCCTTTTTTATACTTGAATGCTTCATACCACCCCCATTTGTTTTACTCTCCTCCTTTTTAATGCTTGAATGCTTTGTATACAAAGTAAAGTTACCTATCAGTAAGGTAAAAAAAAAAAAAAAAGCCAGACGGAGAAAGACAAATACCATATGATTTCACTTATTTATGAAATCTAAAAAACAAAACAAAATGAGCAAAACAGCAGTAGATTCAGACACTGAGTAGTGATGACTGGTGGTTACCATGGGGGAGAGGTTGAGGTGTGTGTGTGTGTGGAGGATAAGGAAGATAAAGGGGCACAAAAATTCTCAATCATAATACAAGTTGGTCACGGGGATAGTAGTACCACATAGAGAATATAGCCAATAATTTTGTAGCGTCTTCCTATGTTGACAGATAGTAAGCACACTGGGGCAGGGAGTAAAGGTTTAATAGTATAAGTAACTGTTGGACCACTGTATGGAATATTTGAAGCCAATATAAGATTGTATATCAATGATATTTCTATCAAAAAGTTAAATTGGTAAAAAAAAGACTTTGGCTTTAGTAATTCCACCTTCTGTTTCTATTTCAAGAAAATTATCAGAAATATAGATAAGGATGATAATTATTAAAAGTGAAATTTTTCAAAAATCAAAGTACATGCTCCAAAAGATGAGACTAGCTATGTAAATTTTGGTAGTACATATTCTGCAAATTACAAGACACTTTATGAAGATTTAATTTTTAATGATAAATCATTAAAATGTTAAATGACAAAGTACAACCTTTCATGTACATACATATACACACACACATATACCATCTGGTTTTATCTGCATGTAAAAATGATGAGCATAGGTGATTTTTCTATTTCCTCATTTTTCTCTCAAAATTCTTTATACTTTGTTATCAAAGGGTGAGAAGCCAAAGAGAGAAAAAGCAGAGACAGAGGCAGAAAGTTTAAAAAAAAGAGAGATAAAATTCCAGCATAGCCTTTCTCTCCTCTTGCTGTATCCTTTGCTTATCCTGAAGATTTTCTAAAGCGTTTTGCTTCTTTGGCACAGTGGGAAAAGTCACTTGCGAAGTCACTTCATAATGTATCTATGTAATATCATTAGACCAGAGTGCCCTAATTCATTTAGAAGAGGAAGGAACTGCTGGAAGCAAGAGGCCAGAGTTCTAGTTTCAACTGTGGCACTTATTGGCTGTGTGATCTTGAGTGAGTCGCTGACATTTTCCACCATTAGTAAAATAATTAGACCCTTGTATCTCAAAAAGTTTGTGTAGAGAGGTGAGAATGGGGCAGGGAGATAGAGAGAGGAGTAGCCCAAAAAGTAACTGGGATTTTTGTCATTATCATTCTTTAACGATTTAGTGAATGCTCTGAAAGGTCCTTTACTATGTAACTATAATTCCATAAACTTATTTACCTGGTGGGGAGATTTATTTGTTCATTCATTGACTTATTAAATCATAGTACTCAATTCACAAATACTTCTGTCTTAGAAACATTCTAAGCACTCATTTTAATTTGGCTTCATAAACAATAAAACAATGGGTAATTGGTTGCTAAAAATAAAATTCTTAAGCAGTAAATTATTGGCAGTATTCATAATTACTCTTTGTAATGCCTCTTATTTTTCTCTTAAAAGGGCCAGACGGTCATGTGACTAGATATGATTTGGATTGGCTGGTGAAAAACAGCTATGAAGGGCAGAAACAAAGGATCATCCAGCCTAGAATTTTATGGAATGCTGAAATCTTCCAGCAAGCCCAAGTTCCATCTGTAGATTTCCAGAGCTTCTTAGAAACCAATGAGGGACTAAAGGACTTTCTGCAAAACTTTCTGCTCTATGGGATTGCCTTTGTAGAAAATGTTCCTCCCATTCAAGAACACACAGAGAAGTTGGCAGAAAGGATCAGCTTGATCAGGTAATTCATTAGTTTCCTGTTATCTGCAATTTATTTCCAGAATATGAATACCCTTGTTTTTAATCTAGAATATTTTGTGGCCTGAATAAGGGTATTCTCGTTTATAGTGCTGTACTTGAGGCTTGGATTTCTAATCTCTAAAGACACGTATATGTTTATTATGATGAAGACTTCAAAGTTACTGGTATATTTTTCAAGATCCTCAAAGTGAGAGGTACCACTGCATTCTAGAAAAAACACTGAGTAAAGAGAACAGGTAGTAGTGTGAGTTCTACCAACAACCTGCCTTCCCATGTAATCAATAAAAGGATTGAATAAGATGGTGCCAGACTATCATACAGTTTACTTTCTATGATTACTAAGGTTTTGTCAGAGACTGATAGTTAATAATACTGCCTTATACCATATAGCGTTTAACCAGCATATTCACACCCATTATTTTCTTTTGGTCATTACAGAAATCCTGATAACTGTGTGTTTTATCCCCTGTTCTACTGATGAAGCAGTTGAGTCTCAGATATGTTAAATGCCTTGCCCAGGATTGCTCTGCTAGTAAGCAATTCAGATTCAGATTCCGGTAGGATTCAGAGAGATCAGATTTCCTGATCCTAAATACAGCGTTCTTGCCACTTGCCAGTCTGAATTTCTAGTTAGTATATAGATGGATCTTCTGTAGTATTAAATGAACTTACTTTATTATAATTATTACTTTCCTTTTACTTAACAGCCAGATATACTTCATTGTGTAGTAGATAGTATGCTAGGTCATTTGCCCTATCCCAATAGAGTATAGTCAACATTTGTCAACCATTCAGTCTAAAAGGCAATTTGAGAACTTTCAAGTAAAAGAAGCAATAAATAACCTGAGAATGCTTTAGAGATGATAGTTCCAGTGGAAGAACACTTCCTGTATAGACTTTGAGGGTTCAGAGAATAACATGAACTGAAAGCTAAGGAATTAAAGTGACCTTTAGTCAGATCCTACCCCACCGGGAAAATAACTATAAAATCAGAACCTGTGATGTATATCTCAAGAAGAGATACAACAACAGTGATACACCAACAGTGATACAGCATCTCACTAAATACTTGGTAACATAAGTATCATTTTCTTTTTTTCTTATTTCTCCATGTCCAAAAGATAGATGAGAATTTACATTAATTAATTCTAAAAATAGCTGCATAAAAACATCTTTTTCTATGCAAGGAAGGTGAGCACAGGAAAGAACCTTGAATATGAAAACTATTAAAAGTAGGCACATGAACAGAGTGGGATGATTCCCTAATGTTTCAGACTACATTATACTTCCACAGGTTTCCCCATGACTTCATAGAATATTAATAAGTAACAGAATTGTTAAGACTGGTGGAATGTTCAGCTGCCATCATCACCTTATAGATCTGGAGCCAAAAAAAAATCTATTGTTATTTGTGAATAAGTAAAGAAATGACTAGAAAGTTTTAAAAGATAAGAATGAAAAATTCAAACAGCTAAAAGATCTTCCTGTATTTCATTTGACAGAGAAACTATCTATGGAAGGATGTGGTATTTCACTTCATACTTCTCCAGGGGTGACACTGCATACACCAAGATGGCTCTGGATCGGCACACTGATACTACCTATTTTCAAGAGCCCTGTGGGTAAGTGGATTAGAATTATCCATAGTGGGTCTTTACTTGTGTTGGTCTTGAATAGTTTCTTCAGTCATTTTCCATTCTATTTGAACCAAGATCATATCTGCTGCTGATGATTTGTATGAGTATTTATTTCTCTCTTCCTAGAAACATGAGCATTTTGAAACACCATAGCCCAGCCTTCTTTAGACTTACAGGAATAAAATTTTGGGGAATTATTGAAAATCCACCTTACTATATAAATGGATCTTAATTTTGTTTAAACCACACTTTTTTTCTCAAAGTGATTACAAATAACTTACCAAAAAACTATTGTCTAACCATTAGTTTTGAAATTCATATAGTTTTCTTATATTTAGTTGTTATATTGCAAAGGGGTCAATCTTCCAAACACAGCTACCTTAGGTATTATATTGAAAGGAACTTGAATCCATTTTACAAGAAATTGGAGATAAGGAATGAATGAAAAATAACCTTACATGGAATCAGAAGCTATTGAGCTTTAACTGAGATATAATTGACATATATAACATTGTGAAAATTCAAGGTGAACAGCCATTATATATAGCAATATGATTATCACGATAGCTAACAGAAAGTAGATCTTAAATGTTCTCACCACAAAAAACAAACGGTAATTATGTGACATGATAAATACCTACTTAACTTTCCTACCATTTGCCTCTTATTTAGAGGTACTTCTGTGGTTGTTATTTTGTTGTTTTATTATTGATCTTGCTTCTGCATATAGATGACGAGCCAGAGACACACAGATATTAGTAAAGTGAGTGTACATATGGATTTATAAAGACAATATGAGAGGGTGATGAACTGGTGGTGTGTTGAACTGTTATCTTGATCTCATAGAGGGAAATCTGAAGCCAGTTTATTCAATTGATTGTGGTACAATTGATTTCCTTCAGGGTTTGTAACTTAAGAATGTTTGGTTTGGGGGAGGAAGAATAAAGCAAGTTTTAGAGCTCCTGCTAAATGTTATCAATATATGAGGAGACCAACAGTTTGCATCCTTATTCTAGGGAATACAGAAGGAAGAAATAAGAAATAGGATGAGAAGCAGCTGAACATGGGCTGAGGTTCAAATATTGACTAACTGTTCTCTCTGCCTACTACCAGAGATAAGTAGTTTTCTGTGCTTTTAGTTTAATCCTTCCTAATCAACAGCAAGGACCAAGCACATTTATTAACACTTTAACAAGAATGGTTAAGAAAGGACATCATCAACAAAACAAAAAGGCATCCTACAGTATGGGAGAATATATTTGTAAATGACAGATCTGACAAGGGGTTAACATCCAAAATATATAAAGAACTTACACACCTCAGCACCCAAAAAGCAAATAACCTGATTAACAAATGGGCAGAGGATGTGAAGAGACGGTTCTCCAAAGAAGAAATTCAGATGGCCAACAGACACATGAAAAGATGCTCCACATCACTAATCATCACGGAAATGCAAATTAAAACCACAATGAGATATCACCTCACACCAGTAAGGATGGCCACCATCCAAAAGATTAAGAACAACAAATATTGGCGAGGATACGGAGAAAGGGGAACCCTCCTACACTGCTGGTGGGAATGTAAGCTAGTTCAACCATTGTGGAAAGCAATATGGAGGTTCCTCAAAAAAATATAAATAAAAATACCATTTGACCCTGGAATCCCACTCCTTGGAATATACCCAAAGAATACAACTTCTCAGATTCAAAAAGGCATATGCACCCTTATGTTCATCGCAGCACTTTTTACAATAGTCAAGATATGGAAGCAACCTAAGTGTCCATCTGTAGATGAATGGATAAAGAAGATGTGGTACATATATACAATGGAATACTATTCAGCCATAAGAAAGAAACAAATCCTACCATTTGCGACAACATGGATGGAGCTGGAGGACATTATGCTCAGTGAAATAAGGCAGGTGGAGAAAGACAAATGCCAAATGATTTCCCTCATTTGTGGAGTATAACAATGAGGCAAAACTGAAGGAACAAAATGGCAGCAGACTCAGAGACTCCAAGAAGGAACTAGTGGTTACCAAAGGGGAGGGGTGGGGGAGGGCGGGCAGGGAGGGAGGGAGAAGGGGACTGAGGGGTATTATGTTTAGTACACACAGTGTGGGGGATCACACAGAGAACAGTGTAGCACAGAGAAGGCACATAGTGGATCTCCGGCAACTTGCTGCACTGGACAGTGACTGCATTGGGGTCTGGGCGGGGACTTGATAATATGGGTAACTGTAGTAACCACATTGTTTTTTCATGTGAAACCTTCATAAAAGTGTATATCAATCATATCAAACAAAACCCTACACAACACACCACCCTGGGACTCTCTAGTCCCCTCCTGGCCTGAGCCAGGAGCTCTGTCCTTTTGCTTTATGCCTAAATAAAAGTCTCTGCCTTGCTCTCCTAAAAAAAAAAAAAGAATGGTTAAGAATTCAGGCTATGGCACCAAGCAGATCTGGATTTGCATCCCAGCTGGAACATACATTAATGAGCTTCAGATCTTGGGCAAGTAGCATTTCTGTGCCTCCTTCCTTTTGGCTTCTCATGTCCTAAATCTCTACTTCTGTACACTTCCTTGGATTCTGTCTCCGTCTAGTTACAGCCTCTCCTTACTCCTCCTTCACTAAACTTATTAAAAGTTATCTACGTTCAGTATCTTTTCATTCTCACTTCCCTTTCACTCCTCAAACCCTTAGCTAGTTCATCCAAGCCCCTCCCAATTAAAATTACTCTCCCCAAAGTCACCAGCAACTAACTTATTGCCATACCTAGTGTGTACCTTTCAGTCTCCATCTTACTTGACCTCCTGGGACATGCCATTAACCACTACCTCTTCTTAAATATTCCTTCTTTTCTGGTTTTCCTCCTATATCTCTCATTATTTTTCTTCAGTCTCCTGTGCTGGCTTATTCTCCTCTGTCCATGTCCTAAATATTGTTGTCTCTCAAGGTTTATCTGCTTGCCCCTCTTTTCTCCCGCATTGTTGGCTTTAACTGTCATGTACAGACAACTGCCAAATCTACCCCTCTTCTGAGTTAAACCCCTTCAGCTGGCTACTCAATAATCCTGACCGAGAAGTTCCACAGAGAGCTCAACAGACCAGAACTGACCTTTGTCCTTTTAATTGTATTTATTTATATTACGTTCTCCTTGCTTTTATTCCTTCCATCTTTATTTGTGTTTATTTCTTATTCTACTTTCTTGTTCACTTTCTCTAATTTTTCTTTTTTTCTAAATTGCTATTAGCTTTATTTTGCCCTCATTAATTGGAAAATTATATTTCAGTTTTCCAGTCCATTAATAGTTGCCTTTGCTTTCCCTGTTAACATTTCCAACCACATATGACAACTGTTTCAACATGCCCCTAAACTGAACTTCTTCGTCAACACCTCACAGTCCCTCACTATCATCCAGTTACATATCTTCCTGCACTCTCTGTTTTGGCAAATGGCATTATCATCTATCAGGTTGCATAATTGAGAAACCTAGAGTCATTCTAGATTTTTGCTTGCTTTTCATCCTCCACATATAATACGTTATCAAATCTTTCCAGTTCTACCACTGTAGTATCTCTTAAGTATGTGTTCTTTTCTGTAACACCGTTCTCTAAGCTTAAGTGCACAGTGTTTTTCTCTACTCTTTCAGTTATCCACTTTTTTTGTCATCTTGCTTCCCACCACTTCATCTCCTATACTATCATCATAAGCAAGTCTTAAAAATGTTAATATGACAATACAGTCTCCCAGTTTAAAATCCTTCTGTGGTTCTCTGTGCTATACTGATAGGAACTTCTTACTCTCTTCCTTGAATATACGTTCTTTTACATTGGTATCGTTGGTCATACTTTTTCTCAGCCTGGAATGCCCTCTCCTCACCTCAGTCTCATCCCAATTCAACTCTTTCTCATTCTTTAAGACTAAAGAAAGCCATCCTCATCCACTCTAAAATGTGTCTCTTTACAACACCCTACTAGGGTAATTTCACTTCTTTACAGCCCGACTATATCTTGTATACAATCTTTTTTTAGTGCCTATGATACTTTATTTGTAGTTATTTGCTTTATCTCTTCTTAGTAAACTATGAATTTTTTAAAAACAGAGACTGTACCTTATTCATGCTAGTATTCCTAGGGTCTGGTACATACGGACTTCAAGATATGTTGCATATGTTTAGAAGAAACCAACAGAGGCTTTAATATTTGAAAGAACAGAAGTAGTTCAATTGGCTATGAAAGGAAGATTATTGGGAAATGAGATTTATTTATTCATGAAAATAAATGACACAAGTAGGTTCAGTAATCATTTTATATATAATTTTCTAATTTTTGATACATTCCATTTTCTCCACTGAACAGAATAATTTTATTTTTTCCTTCTCTAGCATTCAAGTGTTTCACTGTCTTAAGCATGAAGGAACAGGTGGCAGGACACTGCTAGTAGATGGATTCTATGCAGCAGGACAGGTACTTCAAAAGGCGCCTCAGGAATATGAACTCCTCAGCAAAGTGCCATTGAAGCATGAATATATTGAAAATGTTGGAGACTGTCACAACCACATGATTGGGGTTGGACCAGTCTTGAATATCTACCCATGGAATAAAGAACTTTATTTGATCAGGTGAGTACCAAAGAACTATCCCCCAGTGTAATTTATTTACCAAATATTAGCCTAATGTAATGAAAATCTCTAGGATCCTTATATCTGCCACACTTTAATCTTGCTATTCCATAGATTCTTCTCAGTATAATTCCTATTCCTAGTCTAATTCCCATGGAGTAGTAAACAGACCAACAGGCAAGGAAAACTAGATTTTTGTAGTTGGTGGAGGAGAGTTGAGATAGTATTTTAAAACGAAAACACTATTAAAATAAAGAACAATTATTTAATTGTGCTAGTGACCAAGCAGCTATGGTATCCAAAAGCATGATGACCACATTTGTCTGTAGCCCAGATTTATGCAAATCTCCTAACCTGTATATCCAGTAGTCTACTAAAATACCACCACTTAGATATCTTCTAGGATCATAAAACACATCACATTCAAGACTGAACTCATCACCTCTACTCATTTCCAGCCTGTTCTTCCATACCCAGTTCTGAAGAAAAAAATTAATTATTACCCCTAACACATAGTAGGAACTACGTAAATACTAATTCACTTCCCTTGGATGCCCTCCTCTGGAAAACTATCAGTCATCTCTTGTATCTCCATTGCCTAGAATAATGAGTAGGTGCTCAGTATTTTTTCCAACATTTTATTATGAATATTTTTAAACATACCAAAAACTTGAAAACACGGGAGAAACCCATAGACCTACAACCTAGATTCTACTATTAAGATATTACTATACTTGCTTTATTACCTAGCTATCCATTTATCAACTAATCTTATTTTTGATACATTTCAAAGTACATTGCAGATAGGAAAGGAGTACATGTCTCTTTGAAATGCTTCAACAGTTGTATCCTTAAGTAGAGTTCAATATTTGTTTACATATTTTTTATAGTGAGGTAAAATTTACATACAATGATGTTAAAAATAGTAAATATACACTTGCTGCATTTTGACAAATGCATACACCTATGTAGACCAAACCCATATCAAGATATAGAATGCTAACATCACTGCAGAATGTACCCTTATACCCCTTCCCAGTCCAGCCCTACACACACACCCCCCAGAGGAAACCATTTTTATTTTTCAGCACCATATATACTTTTGCCTGTTCTAGAATAGTAAATCCATTCTTTTATGAATAAACAACTGGGCTGTTTCCAGGTTGGGGTTATTATGGATAAAACTGTCATGAACATTCATGTAAAAGTATTTTTGTATATATGTGTTTTCATTTCATTCACATAAATACCTAAGAGTGGAACTGCTGGGTCATAGAGTAAGTGTGTGTTTAGTTTCATAAGCAGTTGCCAACAATGAATGAGAGTTGTAGCCTCCCCACATCCTTTCCAACACTTTATGTTGTCAGCCATTGTGATGGATATGTCCTTGGGGTTTTAATTTGCATTTTTTTGATGATTGATGATGTTGAGCATCTTTCCATGTGCTTATTGGCCATTCATATGTCATCCTTTGTGAAATATCTGGTTAAATCTTTTGCCCGTTTTTTCACTGGGTTGTCATTTCATTATTGAGTTGTAGGAGTTCTTTATATACCCTGGTCACCAGTTATTACTCATATATGTTTTTAGAATATTATAGTCTGTGGCTTACCTACTAATTTTTTAACAATGTCTTTCGATGAGCAGAAATTTTAATTTTAATGAAGTGTAATTGATCAGTTTTTCCTTTAATGATCATTGTTTCTGTGACCTGTGTAAGAAATCTTTGACTACTCCAATGACATGATGATATTCTATTTTTTCTAAAGGTGTTCTGGTTTTATCTTTTACATTTAAGCCTGTAATCTATCTCAAATTAATTTTTCCATGTTGTGAGGTAGGGGTGGAAGATCATATATTTCACATGTGGATATCCAGGTGTTATTACTACCATTTGGTGAAAAGATCTTCCTTTCTCCTATTGGATTGCTTTTGCAACTCTGTCAAAAATCAAATGACCATATAAATGAGGGTTTCTTCCTGGCCTCCCTATTTGGTTCCATTATCTATTTGTGGATCCTTGTGACAATTCCACACTGTCTTGGCTACTTGAGATTTATAGTGTTTTAAAGTCAGGTAAAATGTTTATGAACTTTGTTCTTTTTCAAAATTATTTTGGATATTCTAGATCAGGGGTCTACGGAGTTTTCTATAAAGGGCCAGATAGTACATTTTTAAGTCATATGTATTTTAAGCCAGATAGTACTTTGTGAGCCATATGATCTCTGTCACAACTACTTAATACTATTGTGGAAGCACAACGATAGCCATAGACAATATGTAAATGAATGGGTGTGGTTGTGTTCCAATAAAACATTACTTACGAAGACAGGCAGTGAGCTGTATTTGGCCCACAGACCATAGTTTGCCAACCCTTGTTCCAGACTATTTACATTTCCATATAAATTTTAAAATCCTCCATGTAAGAACTTATTCACTATGTAAGAATTCGCTCACCATCTAAGAACTTGTTCGTTATGCTTCAGAAGATTGGAGACTGAAGAGAACTAGGCTTGAGATGGATTAATGACTGTGCATTGAGCATTGACCCCCCTATACAGAATTTTATTGTTGTTAACAACCATTTGATCAATAAATATGAGAGATGCCCTCTCAAAAAAAAAATTTAAAATCCTCTTGTCAATTTTTTAGGATAAAGCCTGTTAGGATTATGATTAGGATTGCTTGAATTTATAGATCATTCTGGGGAGAAGTGACAAAATAACAGTTTTGAGTCTTCCAATCCATGAACATGATCTTATCTTTCTATTTATTTAGGATTTTCAGCAGTAGTTTGCAGTTTTGAAGACACGGATATTGTATATATTTTATGTTTTGATGGTATTATGAAATAAAATTTTAATATTATTTTCCAATTGTTTGTTGCCATTATAAAAAGTAACTGTATTCTTTTTAAGTTACCATGGTATTCTATAGCCTTGCTAAGATCATTCATTAGTTCTAAGATATTTTTGTTTGTTTTTTTAGGTGTCTTGGGATTTTCTACATTAACAGTTGTGTTTTAGGGACAGATTTATTTCTTCCTTTCCAACATATATACTTATTTATTTGTTTTTCTTGCTTTATTACACTGCTAGCACTTTCAGAACTATATTAAATAAGAGAGGCAAGACCAGACATGCTTAGGATGAGAGTGTTCAGTATGTTGCCATGTATGATGTTAGCTATAAGGGTTTCAAGTGGTATCTTTTATCCACTTGAGGAATTTCCCTTCCAAGTTTGCTCAGTTTTTTAAAATCATGAATAGATTTTAAACTTTGATAAATGCCTTCTCTTCATTTCAGTTATCAATTAAAATAATCATGTGATTTTTCTTCTTTATTCTGTTAATATGGTAAATTATATTGATTTATTTTCAAGTGTTAAACCAACCTTTCACTCTTAGGATAAACTGTACTTCATCATGATTTATTACTGTACACACATGTGTATATTAATAGTGTAGTCCAATCAAGAGATACATATCACACAGTATGTTAAACAGGTAAAGTTTAATATAAAAATTATGAACTCTGATAAAAGAGTAACTATAAGATATAGGGAAATTCTGTATAGTGCCCTAGGACTAAGGCAGGGTATCCAAGGAAGAATAAACCTGGAAGTGGTTCAGACCTTAAAGAAAGAGTGTTTCAGCTACCTTGAAGCAGACAAGTTGTTTTGGCCAGGCAGGTGCTGGTCTAGAGTTGTTTAGCAAACAATAGGCCACTTTACCTGACTATAGGGAAAAGGCAGAGAAGACAGTCAGCAAGATGGTACAAGGAGATCTGGGTGCAAGTGAAAGCAGAAAGATTTAAGAGCACATAGATTGCAGGAGATGGGAGTTAGGGATGGGAGCTTGCTGAATGACTCTTCAGTATACAACCCTGCCAAACATGGGAGGCTGCACACAAGTCATGCAGGAGCTTTCCCAGGGAGTCTAGACAGGTGGCTGCATGCAGGAGGAGGCTCTGTGAGAGGGTTGTAGAAAGGTTATCGCCAAGATGATGTTTCAAAATCACACAGGTAATAACTCCTTGGGCCCGGAGGGCTGGTACTACCTAATAGACTCACATCACAGAGCCAGGCTCTGGCCAGGGCCCGAAATAGCAAGAGAAACACTTTATCCTTCAGTTTCCTTCCACCTTCCTCTACTGAGAAAGTTTAAAATTGAGAGAGAGGATTAAAAATGGTGGTGAGAGATGTGAAGCAGAAACCTCCTCCCAAAATGACATATAATATGAAAATATAGCAAATACATCAAATCCTGACAGAGCAACAGGAAAGAAGGCTGTGTCAGACTGTCTACACCTGGGGAAAAGACCAGGCCTCAAGGAACAGAGTAAAGTACCAAAGCCGTGATCCAGCGGGACCCAAGCCCCTCCCCCACCCCAGTTCACCAGAGGGAGGAAGAGAAACAGAGCAGGGAGGGAGTGGAGGCCTAGGACTGCTGAACACCCAGCCCTGGAGGTCTGCTCTGGGAGCATGAACCTATATTACATGCTGCTCTAGAAATTAGTGGGGTTGGAAAGCTAAGAAAGGTGGAATACTTGGAGACACTGAGATTCCAGCTGCTTGTGGAAAACAGGGATCCACATCCAGCTGCTCTGAGACAAAAGAAAGATGGGCAGTCTGAGAGAATTCCTAAGAGAGAGGGCTGCTAAAGGGGCAAGGATTGTACAGAGCTTGCTGCTCAGGGGAAAGGACAGGTGCAAAAAACTGGGCACAATCTGTCCAGCAGGTTGGGAACTTTCAGGAGCTTCAGGTGTTCCATCTCCCTGGCTGGCTATGCAGCTCTGAGGCCAGACACCATGATATGCAGCCTGCTGTGCCTTCCTCCCAACTAGCTCACAAATTGGCTGTCCCTGCTATTGGGCCAGACCCACCTATAGCAGCTACAAGTGCAAACCATAGAGGCTTCTCCCTGCACACTCAGCCTACTGATCCTGGCAGTGGAGACAGGCAGCTGCAGCAAGGAAGCAGGAAAGACCTTCTTCCTCCCA